CACCTGACCTTAGCCTTTGGGATGGTTGTTGTCTTTACGTTTGAGCTCACGCAGCTTTATGGAATCGCGGAAGATTCTTCGCAACTTAATGTGGAAGCCGCGCAGCTCTTAAAAAAAAAAAGAAAGGAACCGGCTTCCAAATAAAGACTCGTGCCAGAGTTTTCCACAATTCTACGTGGTTCTCTCGGTGGCTGTTTGTGTGACGTTGCTGTGTATGAGATGATCTGCTGCCGAACTCGCCAACAAACACACAGTCACTCCGCTTTTCACGTAAGGGTCCGAAGCGTTTTGAGATGTTGCGATGACGCGATCGATCAAATGTGAGGATCAGGTATTTATTATTTTACAGTCGAGAAGAACTACATGGAACCGGCTTCAAAGTTGATAATGAATTCAACAGTTTGGCAAATTCCAGTCGCACTGGAAGGAGGAAATAAGGAGTAAATCACGACCTAGATGGAAATTCTTTCCATTATTACCAGGTGCGCTGTATCAACCTTTATAACCATCTCTTATTTCACATTAAGCTGTCGGTTGGCTGTACTAGGTTATTTGCTACCTGAAATCACAGGTGTTTATGTGTATGTGTGTAATATTTATGCTTCGCCCACAAACTAAAGTCAATCCACTTTAAAGTATATTCCATGAAGTACTTTGAGACGTGCTCCTAATGTGAAAGGTGCTCTATCAAAAGCAAGGATTATTACTATTATGATTATTATCATCATTTTTGTTTGGACGGCTGGGTGTCTGACACATGTGGAAACCTATCACATTGCTTAAGAGTATCCAAACCAGCCTGAGAGTTCCACAACAATTAGTATTATATATAATTAATGCTAATAAAATACAGTGTATAGGCCGGGGAAAATGGTTACAAGACTCCGTGGATGTCATAAACCAAGGCAACACAAGTGTGAGCTGTTTATACATGTCATCAAAACTCTGCAGCTGTGTTCTTCTCTTTAATACCTTCCTACCCAGTCATTCCCCAAACTCTCATTGCCATGACCTCTCTGAGCCAGAATCAGCAAGTGCCAATTAGTGGTGAGTTCTGAGGTCAGCTTTCTGCTGTTCACTCATAACCCACTGGGAACAGAGGTGGATTCAGACAGACCAACCTTATACAGGAGGTTAAAGCACAGTGTGCAAACACACCGTAGCTCAGTCCTACGAATAGAAAACTATAAGATAATAATTTGGCTTTCTGTTGTACCTGACTGTTTGGCGTACACATATTTTGTCTGGCTGTAGACTCGTCTGCCGACAAGGTAATAAATTAGCTGTGGTTTCCATCAATCCCTGCTACGTTTCATTGTAAGGATTAACCATTCCTTCAACGAACAGTCAATAATTCATTTTCCTAGTACAGCCGGTAGATATAAAGTCTAATAGAAACATTATGTTCCAAATGAACTCTAGGATTTCCCCAAACCCTTTTATTAATTTAATCCCAAATACGTATTGGACTGAGCGGCACAGTTTTCCTCAGATGCCTTTGCAGCCTTAAACGAAATTCAATAAAAATAGCCAACATATGTTACTGCATATTAAACCCAAAGTCTCTCTCCAATGATTCCGTTAATAAAAAAAACTGCCTGGTGCGATACTGAGCCATGCACAGGAGATGGATAATTGTTTCGGTTTGATCCCTGATTTCTTAGGTAATTGAGGCTAAGAAAACTGTACATGTGTATGACTGGCTTCAATGGCCCTGGGTTAGGAAAGGGGAAACATTGACCTTCTCCTGATTAGTGTCCAGTCACCCCTGTTATGATGCTTGTAGTAATAATAACGATCCTTGCATCCTTCAAGATGTCTCCAAGCGCTTCACAGAATACACTGTATATTGTGTGGGCGAAATGCAGCAGCCAATTGCGCACAGCAGCGTCCCCACAAACAGTCGTGGGTAAAACTGGACACATAAAGAAAAGTCTGGTCTTTACACGCCTGATGGGAAGAAAATTGCATCAAATGTTACCAGGTGCTATTTTTATAGAGATGCTTTCTTGTTGCATTCGCCATGTGGTTTTCTTCAACCAGAACTTTGTGGTGATCTGTATCCCCCGCTGCACTGTTATTTAGCACCTGTCTAGCCTTTGGCCCGCCCTGTGTTGAAGTAGTGCCACACTATGAGGACATCTTAGCGTTCCCCTCATTTACAGCATATCCCGTGATGCACACTGGGATGATTAATAGATTATTTAATAGGGTATTTTTTTTAAAAAGGATTTGAAATAAATGAATATTGATCCCGGGTTTCCTGGCTTATGTTTACCTCGAGGCGATGACACATAGGATGTGGAATTTACTCCCCCATCTTCACATCTCAATAGTTGTGGCAGAATTACAAGCATGTGCGATTGCTCTGCCACAGAAAGCTGTAGGGGCGGAATCAATAGAGATGTTTGTAGATAGACAGACATTCGGGTAGTTAGAGGAACAGTGGAAGAGCTTTTATGTGAAAGAGGAGAAAAATAGTAACACTTAAGAATCAGTTATTTCATGTTACTGATGCTCTTTGAACTCATACCTGCACAGGAGTGTCCCCTCACCTTTGTTTTTGTCGAAAAATGAACAATACTGATTCCAGTTGGTTTAGCTTCTTACGTCTGGTTACGTCGCAAGCTTGTGAAAGGAGCCAGGCCACACAGGCACCATGGGCCGAATGACCTCCTTCTATGCTGTAATATTGTATGAAATGCTCCCAAATCCTATTACCAAGCTTGGATCCAAGGCATCTGATGCTGTTCCTTGATGCTTGTCGCAACCTCTATCGAACTGAAGAAATCCTTCAAGCGTCTGTTGCAAGTGTGAAAGTTTCCTGAGTGTTGCAGCTCAGTTACCTCCTCCCATTGATGAGCAAAGACCATTGATTAACATGCTTCATTGTGCAATGATTACAGAATCCCCCCCTATCCAAGTTACAGCTGAAGTAGCTTGTCGGGACCACCAAAGGTCACAAGGAGAATCTGTTGGCCTCCTCTTTGCAAACCAGATTGTGCAGGGAAGTTCCATTTCATGATTGATCCTCTAAATGGGACACAAAGGTTGATTAGGAGGTGTATGTATGAAGTTCCCCCCCGCCCCGTATTTAACTCTACACAGTGAATGTGAGCCTTTTAAAAGCGTCCTTCCTGGCCAGAGCTGGAGTGAATTCAACCTAAAATTCACAGCAATGTCAAGGGTGGCCGGGGGGGAAGGTGTAGGGAGAAGGTTCGAGGAACAGACTGGAGCAGACCAGGCAGCTCAGTGTGATTTTGTAGGACGTTAAGGGACCTAATGAGGCATCAGTGTAAACAATCAAACACTCAGGAACCTCAAAGACACAAGTTGAGTTCAGCATTAATCACAAGTGCAGTTGGCTGTCTCCTGCAGCGAGGGCCGAGAGGAGGGTCTGGCTGTGGTGGGTGGTCCGGGAGAGGTGGTATCTGAGCTGCACTTTCCCATGTCAGCCATGGTTTGCTCAGATGCAGTCTAATGATGCGGAAGGTCACCCCTGAGCTTGTGGTGTCTGAGTGTATTGTTTCGCTAATTGTGCGACAGACAAGCCCATTACAGTAAATTGACCAATTACAGTCCTTTACAGTATATCCTGCAAAGCGCTTTGAGACGTTTCAGAGAGAAATGATAATTAAGACAATATGAAAGCAAGAAATGGCCATTGATCATATTGCCTAGTTTGGCCTGAAAATAAAGGTTATTGTATCTTGCAGCTGGTATAAAGAGCCACTAATGAGCACAGTTATTAATAATTATGAACTTGCTAGGTACTGTGTTGCATGCACTTCATTTCTTAGGACTTTTTTGATCAGTCGTGTGTCTGGGATATGTAGAAACCATGCTGAAGAATATTAACAATCCTTGCATTTGATACGACTTATCGCGTCTTTGAGACGTCTCAAAGTGCTTCACAGGGTACACTGTAAAGTGAGTTATAGACTGTATATTTTGTGGGAGAAACGCGGCAACCAATTGCGCACAGCGGCGTCCCACAAACAGTCGTGGATTGAGTGACCACATTCTTATAATTATAATTAATTTTTTGCAGATCATTTCCTGCTCCCTCTCGCTGTGGGTGTGTGTGTGGTGTGTGTGTTTGACAGATCCAGGCCAGGGCTTCAAATGACTGTGCACCAGAAAGAAAGTCTAGAAATCCATTTATTACAGATTTTTTTCGGTGGAGGAGAGATTTGTAACTTCATTACATAGTGCATCTAAATAGTACACATTCCCACTGCACAACAATTAAAATCCTTACATTCTGTGCCCTGATTACAATACAGTAATATTCCTTGATTGAATTCCTTTGGCACAGTATTTGCTTGTACATACTCTACACAGTACTTTACTAATAATAATAGTAACCCTTGCATTTGGTACAGAACCTTAACATATCCTTGAGATGTCTCACTGGAATTACTGTAAAGTATAGTGGCCGTATTTGTTGACGAACACCGCGGCCATTTGCAATGAGATCTTTTAAGTTCAAGGTTGATTGTTGGCTGAATGCAAGAAGCTACAATCAAATGGAAATATTTAAACATTGGGAGCCAGCGTACTCTAATAAAATGTTCAGAAGGCGTGACAGAAAAGCACTCATTGATCTCCCAACTTGGTGTAGAGATGGTGCAAGAGATTACTGCTAAATATAGGAATAATTACTACTGTATTTATAACCTATCGTCAGATCACCCATCTCCTTCATATCTACTTTACCTTTCCCCCCTCTCACCCCGATACCTTTTAATATTCAGTGGCAGTCAATTGGAAGGGGCATATTGTCCTGCACACCACAGCATTGCAACCATCCTGCATAATCCAATTCCACTCAATCAGTAAGGCTGAATCAAGGTGGCATCACAACACACAGCACAACAGTTAACCCTGGGGGCACACAGGCAGATTTTCTGCAGCAAAATAGCCATTGCACATTCAATTACAGCGAGACAAAAAAAAGCAGTCAATTCACTTTTCAGTGCGTCCTGCGAAGAGCCTTGAGACGTCTCGAAGATGTGACAAGGCGCTGTATCAAATGCAAGGATCTTTAAGACAGTTTTCTTCCATTGCAACTTCAACATGGAAAATCATGCTATGTAAAGAAAACTGTGTGCATTTTTGGAAGCTGTGTGGAACGCTGAACATCCAGGGTTACATATAGAGACAGATCGGCGATATAATGTGAAACGGCTTTTCGAAGCTGATCACTGCTCTGTCGGCCAGCACAAGCCGTCACCTGGCTCGATTAGCCCCGTCTGATTTTTAAAAAGAAAATACACAAAATCACAAAAAAAAGGTTCTTTCTGTTTGCATCTCAGGACAGATTGCTTTGTTTAAAATCAGCGCATTTAATTTCTTTTGCCAGTATGAAAGTTTAATTTAATTAAAGTATCAAACAGGCTTCCACTGCATCCATCCAGTGGACAGACTCATTTTTTTAAAACATAAATTGAAATATAAACAAGGCTTGCATATAGATATACATATATATTTATTTAAGCTTTGAAGTTTCCAGACTGATAACTCCAGGGCTGAGAGTTCACTACCTAAAACCCGACAGCTAGTTAACTCTTTCCTGGCTGTGGCATTGCCTTGTTCCCAGAGAACCAGACCAGATGTACGCTGTTCCTGCCGGCATCAAGCCAGTTAAAAACTCCCCCCAATCTTTGTTCTGTTACCTCCGGTATAACTGTGCTACACGAAGAGGTAGAAATTGAGTCTGCAGGCCAACTAGGTTTAACAATTACGTGGATGTAATTCTATACAGGGCTGCAAGCTGTTCTGGGCAACTTCAGGGAATTGTGTAGAGGGCTTTTTGGGGGCTATTTTTAGTTAGAAAATGGATTATTAACTTTTTTAAAAAACAAATGAACTGCACTTACATGTTGTGAAAGATGATTCAATAGTTAATTCTTACAAGCCTAACCCTGTGATTTGATTTAACAAACACTAAGGATTCATAAATAAGAACAGAAGTCGCTGGGAACGCTCAGCAGGTCAGGCAGCATCTATGGAGAGAGGAAAGTGAGTCAAAGTTTCAGGTCGATGACCTTTTCTCGATCTGGACTCATATTTTATCTTATTTCCTGCATTCTCTCTGACTTCCTTCTAAACCTTCCTTCTGAGCTTGTTCCAGAAGATCTTCATTTATTCTTTGATGGTGGCACTTATTGTGATCAGTTCAGAGCTATAATGATCTTTGCATTTGGCTTTACGTCAGGTCTCAAAGCACTTTGCACGGTTTTACAGTACAGAGTCTTTACTACGTTTGGAAGCAAACATGGCATCCAATTTTGCACACAGATATAGCCCAGAAACAGCCACGAAGTGAATGTCCAATCTTAGCTGGCGACTGTTACCCACACAGCGGGAGAAACTCCCTTCTCTTTTTGCATAGTGTCATAGGATTTTTAATGTCCACATGAATGGGCAGACAGCAGCTTGGTTTAATGTATCATTCCGAAGGACAGCACTACTGACAAGCCAACGCTCTCACACACACCAGCAAGTGTCAGCTCGCTTGTGAACTGAAGGTCCTTATGTGGGCTTGAACCCACGACTTAGAAGTGAGAGTGCTACCAGCTGAGTCAGTCTGACACTCGCTTTATTTTTCCATTGTTTTCTTTTGTGTGTAGAATTTGTCTTTTCTATCCAAGTGGGAATGTTTTCAACCTCTGTGCGGGTAAGGTCGCCGAACGAGCCAATGCAAAAAATAATGGATTTTAATTTGCAATGATTTTATGGTTGAGTGGTTGTTTCTGAGGAAACCTAATGAAGTGACGCTTTGATGCTGCCACAATGTCACTGTGCATTAGAAATACAACGCGGGTGAAAATCTGACGTGTAATGGGAATATTGTATTCTTCAACCTGATGTACCTCGAAGTGACTTCTTCACGTAGAGGGTAGTGAGCGTGTGGAACTCACTGCTCCTGTGTTTCACGCTCCTCACTACTCTGACAGCAGCTGGAGCAATAGTGTGTTCCTCAACAGCTGCTCCTGCTTTATTTTTCATTTACAGAAAAATCTGTGCGTTCAGGAAGGTCAAGAGGGAAACCTCGCCCAATAGGGGCTTACGTAAATTTGATTTGGGGAGAAAGGTTGAGATTTTATCCTTTGTGAGGGTCACTTGATGTTCAGGAATCAGTCGAAGTGCATCCTATGAATTACCGTTGGAACCACCTTCAGAGTTTGCCACGAGTTACGTACCCAGTTCATTCTCTCGCAGCTTCAGCTGGCAATAGAGCCAGCAAAGGACTAGGACCTTCAGCCTATGAAAGAAAACCAATACTGATTAGGAACCCGTAGCAACACAGCCCTGCAGCTAGCCGTCAATAATGTTTCGATGAGATATTCGACTGCCTATTTACACCGGCTAAACCTCGTCTCGAAATTATTGCTCCCCCACCTTCCCCCACCCCCCTCCACCCTTTGAACAGGATCTTTTGATTTTAAAAAGTCGTATTAATCATATATAAAATAAATATATTGACTGAAAGGGTCGGTAGTAACAGGTTCAATAACAAGTTCCGAAAGGGAATTGGATAGGTACTTGAAAAGGAAAAATTTGCAAGGATTTGGGGAGAGAGCGGGGCGGGATGTGGGACTGATTGAGTGGCTCTTCCAACAAGCCGGCACAGGCACGATGAGCCGAATGGCCTCCTTCTGTGCTGTAATATTCTAATATTCTATGATTCAATATGATTGAGCAGAAGTGCTCGAGACGTTTCCTTCACTTGAAAGGCGCCATCCAAGTTGTGGGTACTGGAATGTGCGTGTGTGTGGACGGGGGGGGAGAGAAGGGAGACGAGGTGGGTCATCTGATAGTCTACAGATAGCAAGCTCTGAGCCACCTGGTGATGTTAGCACGGCTGCCGCTGCCAGTGCATAACAGTCAATCAGTTGCTGCATTCAGGAGATATGAGGTAGGAGAAAATTGTAAAATAAAAAAATATATCCAAGAAACGGTGGAAGGTTTTCTCAGTCCCATCGCTGTTTGTGCTTCGCTGACTCCCATCCATACCTGTGCTTCGGGGTGTTTTCTGGGTAAAATGATGATGTTAGTGGCATCTGGGCCCCCCTCCTTCCGAACTCGAGAATAATTGGCCCGGACTTCTATCCTCTGCCGGCTCGCTGTCAGGAAAACAAAGAGACGGGTAAGTGACAAAGGGCATTGGAAACCCTACAGCTGCGTTGCTAATAATAACCCTCGCATTTGATACGGCGCCTTTCATGTCAGAACGCCGCCTCAAAGCACTTTACAGGATTTACCGTAAAGTGTAGTGACCGTGTATTTTTAGGCGATCACCTTGGGGTGGAATTCCAAACAAAATATACAGTCAATTCACTGTACAGTATATTCTGTGAATCGCTTTGAGACAAGAAGTGATAAGATGCTGTATCAAAATGCAAGGATTATTACTATTATTATTATTATTATTATTATTATTATTATTATTATTATTATTATTATTATTATTATCTAGCCATGATTGTCCAGTGGTCATTTTGCTGGTCCCATGTTCACCACAAAAACAATTAATATTTACAAGAACTAAAAAGGCATGTTTTATATTTCAGCAAATCTGCCCCAGATTGCCAGTTTCTTTGTGATCTGTTACAAAAAATATCCAGATGCTGTGTTATTTTAATCGACGTAACAACCAACAGAAGATTTCATGATCTTACGCTGTCTCTCTAAACCCCTCTGAGACAAGATCACAGCAATAAGCAAAAAATGCCTTTGATAATAGCGAAACCCAGGAACTGGTCGGGAATTGAGTCCGAGCAGACAGTATCTTCTCTTCAACCGTGCCTTCAGCTCCCCTCTCGACTCTCTACCCCCTCCTCATTCCCTCCCTACCCTCCCCTCCTCGCTCCCTCCCTTCCCTCACCCTGACCATTTCCCCCCAATGCTCGGGTCCCAACCCAACTGTCCAGCGCCTTGGGACGTCCTCCCGACGTGAAAGGCGCTCTATAAATGCAATCTTGTTGTTGTATAAGAGATGAGAACAGACTCAATAAAATAAATCTGAAGTAAGGCCCACTTGTCTACTGTGACAGCTCTGCAAAGATACATGCGAAATGTGCAAGCTTCCCCCAGATGGATTCAATGCGATAATTCTCTGTTATAACATGTCAATTTCCCCCCTTTCCCACTTCCCCCCCCACAGCCACAAGATTTTGCACATTCGAGTTGCGCAGTGCCTACAAGGAAATGGATTTGAAAGTGAACGGATTTGATCATTTTCTCTTCAAATCATCAGTAATGTCCTGGAGATGAAGGTTAGAGGTTTTTCTGTGATAGTTTTTCTGGCCATCAGCGACGTGGAATTGAACTTTGCCCGGATAGTTCGGGTTAACGGTGTCTGAAAGGTGTCTTTAATAATGAAGTTAGCCCATATATCCTGACCCGGTCACGCAAATCTGCTGCGAATCCAGACGCGTTTTTTTCCCCCCCCCTTCCTTCTTCACTTTCGGACATGAAACCCATCATTCACATAATCCACCGAGGAACTGCCAACTCTTTGAGGAACCCAGTAATGTTTTTGCAACAAATCGAATAATGCAAGACTGGCAGTTTCAATTTTCTTCAAAGAGCAACTTGAATGAGGCTGTACTGACTGGCGTTCTCTCTGTACTATGCACTATCCATCACTAATGGGTTTTCACAGAAAACGGCTTCGGAAAGCAGCCTGATCCAAAAACTTGTTTTAAAAAACTTTTTTGCCCTTTTATTTACAGATCCAAACTAAAATAACGCAGCTGATTGTATCTGGGCCAGACTGGGATTGCGTCCAATTGACTCAAGTCTTTAAGCAATTCCAGAGCAAGACCTTGCAATTGTTTGAGGTCAGTCACATACACAGACCCCGTGGAAATACTCAGCAGGAGGTTGTGGGTTCAAGCTCCACATCGGGCTTGGAACTCACAGTCTAGGCTGACACTCCTCTGTACTGACTGAGACGCCGTCCGGAGTGAAGGGCCCTGTATAAGTGCAAGTTGTTGTCCATCTGTCTTTTAAACCGAGGTCCTGTCTGTTATGTGCTCTGGGACTCTACCCTGCACAAGGGACACTATATAAATGCAAGTTGTCGTTGTTTGCCTGTTCAAGTGGACACTGCTCTGTGCAAATTGGCTGCCGCGTTTTGTGCAAATTACAGTCACTCAACTTTACAGCGAAATCCTGTGAAGTGTATTGAGACATCTCACCAATGTGATCAGACACTATCAAAAGTGCAAGGGTTGTTATTAATTCTTACCGACTCGTCAAGAGTTCCTGGGTAACTTCACAGAACGTACAGAACCGCGAAATGAACACTATAAATATTCCCAACCTTCTCCTTTATCGTTAGTTTAAAAAAATGGAAATTAAGAAAAATATTCTAAAAAAAGAAACATGTTAAAAGCCATGTGAGGAAAGGGTTGGGGAGTGGGACTCTCTCGGGGATGAATTACCTCCTTCAGTGCTGTAAGATTCTACAAATCAGTTGGAAACAAGTGTTACAGAAAATAGACGTCTTTCTTCTGGAAACTTGAATCTTTCTGGCTTGTTGATGTGCTGGTACCATTTTTTTTTTGCCGGCGGTGAAAGACGTTTCTGTCGGGCAACTTCAGAGTCTGAGTTTGAGGAAGCTTTGGATTCTTTCTTTTCAAGTGTCTTTTGCCTCCGGCTGCCTCTCTCTCACTGATGCCGTCTGTTCGAGCAGGGTCAGTGATCTGGGAGGTGGCAGGAGAGTGCCTCCGAGAGTTGATAGCACAGCGGGCTGAAGGAAAGGAGAGCAGCCGGACCCACTGGAACCTGACCCGAGATCGTCTCGGAGCTGAGTTGTTGAGGGTTGGGCTCGGCGGAACATACGCGGACAATCTGCAGAAGACTCATTTCGGGGTCACCGTCAAGCGCCCCGGGACGTTGCCCCCGCGTGAAGGGCGTTATATAAATGCAAGTTGTTGTTGCCGTTTTCACGTCCCGAGATGTCTCTTCCTGGTGCCTGTTTTCCCACCGCGAGACTCCTTCTTTTCAACAAGCATTGACAACGTATATCAGATTTGAGCCTCGAAGACGTGGGAATAATTCCTGTAAGTGTCCAAAAGTACTGACAATGTGGGGAAAATGTTGAAGCTACTCACCAACCAGACCAGATAGCTGTACACAGAAGCAACTAACCTATTTGGAGCTTTGGTGAATCCCTCAGTTTTTCAGAGTTCACATACTTCACCAGGTCCCCATATATTTTCCTTGAACCTTATTTATTAAAGTAACTAACACACAGTAGTGAGTGGTGGCAGGAGGGATACTCTCTAAATATTTATCCCCATGAATATATTCATCAAACGCTGGAAGCCCAGTGCCAGGATTTTAATAAGTACACGTTTCTGCAACTACGCTCTTTGTGATTTCTTTTTCAACAGAAAAAAAAAAGAGGGCAGGGAGCCAGGACATGAAACAAAAGAAAGATGAATGGGAGAACTGTCTTGTGTTTAATGTGCGAAGTTCCCATAGTTTTGCTTTGCTTGTCCAGCACATGCTTTTACAAGGGTAGAGAACCTCCTTCATATTGGGAACACACTGTTGCAGTTGCACAGTTCATTTATTCTGATTACTTTTCAGCAACACACCGGCCTAAAGGCCAAACCTCTCCATGTCCACCCAGGACTAGCTGACCGCAACCGTCCATCCAGGAATACATGGTGTTTCTGTCAATAAGCTAAATGCATTTAGTTGGCCATTGAGCTTCATTTCAAGCTATTAGTGAGTGATATTAAAGCAATTCCCAAAGATACCCTGAAAGAAATGTGTCATGTTTAAGGTGTGTACAAACCTTCCTGATGCTGCGTTTACAGCCCCATAAGAGGCACCTATAGAGAGAAAAATTCAGCACCATGTGGTTATGGTATAACTGGAGCCATTCGAGATTAATTGCCATAACTGAATGGATCACAGAAATATATCCGTGATATGTTTATTGTCCTGAAAGCAGTGTTTTGGGGGCAGTGAGAAATAGGAAACTATGTGAAGCAGCACCGAAACTCTTGACTATAGAAACAGTATTCAGGACTCACTATGTACCACCCCACCTAAGCAGGAATCCAAGATAGAAGGTACCAAGCAGGCAAGAGGGGAGGTGGGAGGTGGGGAGGAGGGTGTGTGAGGAAGGGGGAGGTGGGAGGTGGGTGTGTGGGGAAGGGAGAGGTGGGAGGTGGGTGTGTGGGGAAGGGGAGGTGGGAGGTGGGGAGGGGGTTGTGTGGGGAAGGGGGAGGTGGGAATGTCACTCCAGGAGTTGAAGACAGGTTTGAATCGCAAATTTCGCCCAGTCAATAAATCTTTCAGCGTTAATTGTGGAATGGAATGCGTTTAGGAATACTGCAATTTCCCCCCTATTTTCTTTCAAAGGAAGAGGAGGAGAGCAGTGCGGCTGATCCCCAATGTTTCAGGGTAGAGCTTTGAGGATTGATTAGATAGGCTAAGCCTCTTCAGCCATCAAAAGAAATGTCTCAGCGAGGACTTTAGAGAAGTATGTAAGATACTAAATGGGATAAAGGAAGCAAACCCCAGGATAATGCTCTCAAATATGCCAAGAGAGCAGGATAAAAGGTCAACGGGTTCAAGGCTGTGAAAGGCATTTTATGATGGACACCAGGAAGATTTGCTGATGCATCAAGAGAAACCAGTAGCTGCAATGGGTTACCAGGAAGGGTGATGGAGGGCAATGCATTGGACTTATTGACAGTCTATACAGTAAATCCTGTGAAGCGCTGTGAGACGTCTCGAACACGTGATAAGGCGCTATATCAAATGCAAGATTATTATTATTATCATTATTGCTGATTAAATGGGAAAGACGGATGGATTGGTTCTGCGAAAGGATCAGATCAAATGGGCTGAACGACTTTGCTGCATTGTCCACTAAATTATTAGAAGATTCGACAATTCAGTTCCCAACCTGCACTCAAAAGGCTACGAAAGAGCCTCATGGATATCTTTCTAAACACATAGTGACAAGGTAGCACAGGAGAATAATCTGGGAATTCTCTGCCTCCGCATGTCACTCACCGGCTTTGTTAAATATCTTACAATCGAACCTACGCCTAGAAAATTAATGACTGCGCCAAGCAACATAGAACAGGCACAGCTCCTTTGTGTGTTGTGCTTGCGGCAAATATTCCCTGTTACCATCAATAGCAGAACGCTCTGTATGTCAGCACTTTATTTTTTATCAGACTTCTGGTAATCGCTCAGGATTACAGGATAGCACCAACCTGCGCTGGTCAGGAAAGGCTCCCCTGCTGAGACGCACACTAACATGTCTCTCTCTATCTTTTCCCACGTGTTGATCTGCTCTCCATCAGGGGTAAAGAGGAGCTGAGCTGCTCGCCTCACGTGCAATCGCTCTGTGCAGTTCACCAGCAGCTGAAACGTAGAAACATAGAAACAGGAGTAGGCCATCCAGCCCCTCGAGCCTGTTCCACCTTCTGTAAGATAATGGCTGATCTGTACCTCCACGCCAATTACCCTCCCACTTGCCTGATATCCCTTGATACCCTCACCTAACAAACATGTATCCTCCTCAGTCTTGAAAATATGAATCGATGCAGTCATAATCCACAACCATCTGATCTCATCCTTCCCGGTTATTCCCCCCTTCCACCTTCCCACCCAACCACCCACCCATCCATCCTCCCATCACAAAATATAGTCAACTCACTTTACATTATATCCTGTGAAGCGCTTTGAGAGGTCTCGAAGACATGATATGGCGCTGTATCAAATTGCAAGGATTATTATTAGCAGTATTTACCTCTGGAATGCTTTTGCCCCAGGCATAGACTCCTTGGTCTGCACTGCCACCATTCAGATAAGCCAGAACCCTTTTGACGTTTGGCTGGCTGTAGAGCGGCCTTTGACTGAAGACCATCCTGTTGAGAACGTGGGGCTGTCTTTTCACCTGCATCGCTTGGACCTCGGACAGGTGCATCTGAGGGATATGATTTTAGCAAGTTAGTAAAAGGATCAAAAAGGTGTGAATTCCCATTGCTTTGGACACTGCTGTGTTGGCTGCCGCGTTTCGCCCACAAAATATACAGTCAATTCACTTCACAGTATATTCCGTGAAGCAGTGCTGTAATCAAATGCAAGGATTATTATTTTTTCAAGCGCTTTGAGACGCTACCCTTGCGTGAGGGGTACTGTATAAATACAAGTTGTTTTTTTTACATTATTTACATTATGCATTAAAAGAAGTTGTAGATGGAAGGAAGCAGTGAAGCATACCTACCTCCATGTTCTGTACCTCTTCCATTAGCTTGACCTCTGCTGGCGTTGGCTCAGACCATCCACCTTCCACCACCACGGGCTGAATTGGACTTTTTGTTGGCACCATAGTCGCTGGTTCCATAGTTCCCACTCGCCTCCCTGTAAACAGCCACAGTTTCTTTCACACTTTGCTGCTCACTCACATACTCTAGTTTGCCCTGGTTCCAAACAAATCCTTTCAGACCAGCAGATTGACATTGACAACATTGAAAATTACAGTCAAACTAGTCAATAACTTCATACTGGCTGCAGGTGCAAAGACCCCCTTCGTATGCATTTATAGGGTGCACCTCACACAGGGTAGCGTCCCAGAGCGCTTGATATGGTTTGGCCAGAAACAGGCCACCTGTGTATCAGGAATGTACCTTGCAGGTGACGCATTATATGTTTCATTTTATTGAGGTCACAAAGAACCTTTTCTTTCTGCAACCAGCATTTTCTCTGCAGCCTTTGCCTTCTGTTCAGTTCTGAAATTAAACAGAGAAGCAGTGTGTCCATCAACCATGGCATTATTTTTATACGGATGCAACTCTGTGTGAATTGCTTATTACAGCGGCGGTTCCATTTGCTTACTGTGCGCAACTGGCTGCTGTGGTTTAGCCCACAAAATATACAGTCAATTCACTTTACAGCATATCCTGTGAAGCGCTTTGAGACATCTCAAATGCCAAGAATTATTGTTATTATTTTGGCAAATTCTTAAATGCAACCTTAATTCTGAAGCTTGGGGGGGTGGGGGGGGGGAGTGGGTGGTAGAGGAAAATCTTTCATTGAGGACAAATGGGTAAAGGTGAGATCTTCACACCACAGATCACTGAAGCAGTTAAATTGCTAATTGTTAAGAGAGAGCTGCAGGTTATTAATATCCTTGGTGCTATAAACTTAATTTCTTCCTGTTATTATTCTACAAATTTCATAATACTCCGTCAGCCCGGACAAACACACTGAGACACAAAAGGCTTTGAAGTGGTGGGACATAATACGGTATAGATCAGCCCCATTTAATCCAGGGTGTTCTCTGCAGAAACCTAATGCTCTTCGGCTAATGTAAATCTCCATAACCGGCAGGGTTACTCTCCTCTCTCAGTGTGCTCTCGGTAGTGTATCAAAAGGATTCATTAAACAGAGAAATTTAATTACTGTCAGGAACTGACGTGGGATTTCGACGTGTGGCTGTAGAAGGACCCGGTGCAGATGGTAGTGGGAGTGTGAAGTTGTACCTAACGTGGAGCCGAGATAACTCAGTTCCTGTTATGAGCCACAGCATCGACACGGGGGTATGAGAAACCTGTCTCGATCCTCAATGACACAAAGTCAACTCATAAATGAGACTTGTGTGGAGCAGCACATTATCTGCAGTACAGCTCTGGCATTTGTGGACTGTTCCATCTCTTCATAGATGGAAATACGTTTTTTTTATTTTTGAAAGCTAAATTTGCGCAGCCATTGAAACAAATGGAGTATATGGTGGCAACCTGCCCAATAAATACCCTTTAGTAGGCGGGCATTTAATGGATAGCACTGCAGCAGCAGAATGTGAGATCCCAGTTCAGTGGTGACTTCCCCTTTAACAACAACAAGAACTTGCATGTATATAGCGCCCTCCATGCAGGGTAGCATCTCAGAGCGCTTAACAGTGGCGGAGACTCACTTCGAGCTGGAGTAGGGGGGAGAAGGGAGGGAGGGAGGGAGGGGAAAACAAATATATCCAGCCAGAGTCTGATCCTTGACAGTACAGCTTGAAGGTAATCAGATTCCTTGACGGAATAGGAAGATTTGAACGCTGAGTGTTGCATTCTTAGCCATCACAAGAGAGAGACAGAGACAGAAACGGAGCAAGAAGGGAGAGAGAGGGATGGGCTCAGACTTCAAAGAGCCAACAGCTGCAGCATACATTATACCTGTACAAAAGCGGGCCCTATGTGTTGACTGCTGTGTGAGCTTTGGTTCAGATGGGACATGGTAGGATGTGTTTAACAATTATTAAAACTCTTACCACTCAATGGCACATGAGCCTCTCCGCAGGACACCCAGACCTCGATGGGATTCCTGAGAACAATGGTTATGAGTGTTGGGTCCAGGCTCTCCAAGTCCTCCGGCATCACGGCAGAGATCTTGTCGAACTGGCTGCTGTCAGGCCTCTGCAACCTGGCGGATTCTGGGAGGATGGACAAGTGCCCACAGGTCAGGAGATTGACTGGACTGAGATCCCACCAAAATAACAGGAAAAAGTTTACTTGAGGCTCATGAGCCGAGATTAACTTTTGCTCTCACTCCAGTGCAGCCTTATCCCACAGTTCTTGCGCTCACATCTCCTATGGAGACTTTGCACCTGCCCGTCCTATAAAGGCTCTTTACCTTCTTCGATCTGCCCATTCAGCGACACACCGGCATTTTCACCTCGCTTCGCTTCCCGCCCGCTCTCTCGTAGCAAATCGTTTACAGCCCACGCTATGAGTTCACTTATGGTGAGGATTTGGGTTCCCTCCAGCGTGTACAGTCTGCTCGCTGGCCGGGTGAGCTCCAGCCTTCGGGTGCACGTAGACAGCAACTGAGAAAACAGCGATCAGACATCAGACTAAGCTACGTGACACCAGTAATGTGATAGCGCTGACCATCAACCATAGTGACAGACCGGCAATACCAGCCAAACTCCTCCCCACCCCCTCCAATCACCACCACCATATCTTCAAACTATCCTGTGGACATCTTATTTCCTTATTGTGGCTCTATTACCGATGAAAAGGTCGTCCCAATGATCAATTGTCCATCTTTGTATTTGTATTCTGCCCCATTTCGGTAAGCCAGGAGTTTGAGTGCCCGCTGAGCCCTGGCAGCTGAGATCTCCTGTGTCAGGGTCTGCACTGAGGTCTCCTTCCTCAGAGAAATCAGCTTCTCCTCCCAGCAGCTCAGACTGTTTCCTGCTTCGGAGGTGGAGAGGTCCAGCTGTAAACCAAGAGAATAATAATGATAATAATAATAATAATCGTTGCATTTGATACAGTGCCTGATCACGTCATCACATTTTTGAATCAAATTTTCATCCAATTTTAGAATGAAAGTTTGGTGAAGTCTGGAGCCTCCTTGCTCGGCAAAAACAACAACAACTTGCATTTATACAACGCCCTTCACACCGGATGGCATCTTGGAGCGCTTAATTAGGAATGATACATTGGTAAGAATAAAAGAGCTCATTGATGACGCTGGTCACTATTTAAGCACATAAAGCAACACAAGACATTCATTAGAGCCAAAAAGATCAAGTCCAGTTAGTACAGTTAAGGGCTCTCCCTATTCTAATCTGCCTCTGGTGGTGGGGGTGGTGGGGGGAATTAAACTGGTCAACAATTTAAGTAAAGATGCAAGCTCAATCTCAAAATAGATTTTGCACTCGGCAGAAACCAGCAAAGAAGTGTAGGGTGTGAATCTCATGTTGTTATCTATCGGCACTTCACCTGTGACGTTCCTATGGAGCTGACAGCGCTGGAAGCCAAGTACAGTTTTAGATCATTTATTGCTTTCACTTAACAGGCGAGAGTTCAAGTTCAGAGCAGCCCATTTAGTTGGCAAAAAGCTACCAGGGAGAATTGAAGAACAGCATTTCAACCAAAGGAAAACTCAATTGTGGAAGTTTGACATGATGGAGGTCAGCACGGAGCACTCCAGCGGCCTGCCCTCCCGATGTGAAAGGCGCTATACAAATGTAATTTTGTTGTTGTTGTTATATAAAAACCTTACGCTTGTACCTTGTCAACAAATGATTTAATTCACTGTCAAGTTATCACATATGTCAGGCGCCGGACATGTTTGATGTACTGACGAGGGTACTGGAATAATTTAAGAAAGAGCACCACATTGTAATAAGAGGACAGTGGGGCACATACTCTGGAAGGATGAGATTAATTTGTATAATTTATATAATTGACTGAATATTTCACCCACAAAATATACAGTCAATTCACTTTACAGTGTATCCTGTGAAGCGCTTTGAGACGTCTCAAAGATGTGATAAGACGCTGTATCAAATGCAAGGATTGCTATCAAAAGCCTAGATAACCAAATACTAGATAACCTAGATAACCAAATACTCACATTATAGATTTTTGCTGAGTTTGTCTAGAGGCAATGGCGAGGGCGAGATAGTATTGCAGATGTTATGACCAAGCTTGCCTTTAGCAATGGAAATTAACTTTTGCAATGAGGTTACAATTTCCTGCTTTGTGCAATGCTTACAATCTAGCCATAAAAGCCAGTCTGACCCCGTGTCTGCAGAGCAATACTGTACACTACACTCCTCTGCATTTACAGCAGAATTTACAATAATATGTTGTAATGCCCTTGATGCCAATGCACATAATGCCCCTTAACTGGTTGCACTAACCAACGTTAGTGACATGAGGGTAGGAATATTCCATCCAAGCTGTGAATGTCAGGGGATAGACTCAAACAAATGACGCAAGCTTTCCCGAAAAACAAAGTCAGTGCGTAAGATCGGGAGTGGTGTGAAACCGATTTCACAAGCTCTTCAGTGAGGCGCTTGATTATCAAAGGAATGTGGTGAATTACCCTCGTACCTGATCCTTCTTTAGCGTTCCCGCAAAGGGAGCCATAGGTTTAATGAGCTAACTGCAGATCAACATGGCTGAGTTAAGTGCGACTCCACCATTTCCTGTCTGTAATCCACCTTCTATTGCCCGTCCCCTCCATTCATCCTTCCTTCAGCTGAGAGCTGGAAGAATGGGCCTAGCTTTTGTTTGAAAAACAAATTAGCCCATAAGTAAAGAACAGCTTACTTTTGCTACACTCAGGCACTTAAAAGGTCCTGTTTCTTCCAGCGGACTCGCTTTACAGCCAGTGGCACAAATGAATGAGATCCCTGCAGGCAATTTTGTCATCGCAATCTTTCCCCTCAGGACCTTGGCACAAGCCAAGCAGACTGTGATCCACTGCTTCTTCCCAGACTCTGTGAAATAGTAACCCTAAAACAGAAATAAAGCAGCGTAAGACAAGTGCTTGTGTTGGCACGTTTCGAATCATTCAATCAGTGAATCTTTTGTGCCTATTATGCCTTGGTGTGTTGTTGATCTGTGTCAGAAGGTTGTGGGTTCATGTCCAAATAAAATTTGTTCATGTCATGGCTGTTTGTGGGGCTTGGCTGTGGGACACCTAAATCAGCTGTATTCACCTACAGTCCCCGAACACACAGTCCCCGCGCTTTACAGTAATTCCCGTGAAGTGCTTGGACACGTCCTCCTGCTCGACACCAGGGAATATCTGCGCGTGTGTGAAAGTGAATGGCCACTCACGGGCTGTTCCATTTCCTCGGTGCTGGAGACGGAGAAGGTGCAGAGAGAGGCCTGATTGGCGGCTGTGATCTCTTGGTCCAGCGTGGTGGTATAGAAAGCATTCAGCACATTCATCTCAGGAATCCAGCACCACTTCTGATTCGCGACACCATAGCTGTATCCTTTATACTTCTGCAGCGATGTATACAACAATAATGTTACACCCGGAGTTAATGTTAGCTCAGAACTGGGTATGATTGGCAGCTGCGCAAACATTACAAATACATTGAACCGGTAAAATCTTTTAGTCCTGCAGAAAAATAATAATAATAATAATAATAATAATTTGGTCACTCCATCCACGATTGTTTGTGGGACAAAGGGGAAGGTCTTCAGGCGCAACCTGAAGATAGGGAAGGAAGGGTCAAGACGGAGGGATAGAGGAAGAATGCTCCAGAGATTCAGGGTATAGTGGTCCATAGATGAGTCAGTTGTGGACCTGATGCAGAGAAATGCTGACCTGAAGAATTATTGAGCAACGTTGACCTCCCATTGGGCTCTCAGTATCACCTGCTCTGACTTGGGGCATTGAAACTGCAAGCACCAGCTCAGGGCTGCCCATCAAATGGAAGGTCCTGTTAACAAAAAAGACACAAACATTAAGTATTAACCTGACTATCATACAAAAAGAGGATAAAAATGTATTCTTTCTATTCTCTTTGACGAAACGACTAGTTTATGACAAACAACATCTATTTTATTGACTGACTTGCTGGGAATATGTAAGAATAAAATAATCCCTACATTTTGACCCAGAACCTTTCACGATGAGATTTCTTGACGATGTATATAAATGCAAGAATTATGATTATTATAAAAGTCTTTTTTTTAAAAAAAGTCATAGCCCTCAAACCGAAATCCTGACCAGGAACATGTGGTTAGTTGTGCTCTATTTTGATAGCACCAGGAAATAGACGCTGCAGGAATCTTGCCGCCGGTTTATTAACTCCAAACAAATTTCATATTAATAATTAATTTTCTAAAGCAATGAAAACAAAGCAATGAAAGAACGCTCGTTCCTTTGAAAGACTGGGATGCTGAAGATCTACAGTGTCCCACAGATAACCCCCTCTTTCCCGCCACCTCCCCGCAGTCACACTCACCGCAGTCTGACCCCATTCTGTACAGAGAAGGATCAGTGTAAAAAGTGCCAAAGCTGATAGCAGCAACACTAGTCAGTGAATGTGGCCCCCATTTGACCTGAATGCATCGGGTCCATCCCACTTATACCTCTGATGCTTTCGAGATGCAGAGTGCAGGTGTGGTTGAGATTCAGGAGGATACCACCGGTCTGAATCATGTGCTGGGGACAATCTGTCTGTTCCAATGCATCGCAGCAGCCTTTGAGTGGGGGGTTTTGGGGGGAATTTAAATTGAAATGTAAGGGATTGCCTTGTTACCATCTTTCAGATCCCAAAGGATGTTGACTTGTATTCTCTGACGTTGCTACCTGTCTTCCTCTCTCAGTATCCAGCGATGATGGACCTCATCAGCTTTCCTTTCCACCAGCACCACCTCCGTGTTGGGCTGCATCTCCAGATCGGGGACTCCCACCACAAGCCAAGGGCAGCTGCAGTTTACCATGTAGCCGTCTCTGAACTCAAATTGTTGCCGATGGATTTGTTGGTGTTTGATGGCCTTGGGCTGGGGCCTGTGAGGGCCGCGGAGAAACATAAATTGCACAAGTTAGAGTGAAACTCGTAGTTTTTGGGTATATATAAAAAAACAGCAACATAGGCAAACGTACAACCAAATCATTAAGAACCAATTATAGAGAAACAGTGAGGTGTGACCTGTATTTATTGTAGAGCTCAGCGTTAGTAAAATAAGCGCCACCTTCCTCCTGCACAATATCGTCTTCGTCTATTTGCTTGGAATTTCTCTCCCAGGGATAACTGTGATTTTTCGGTTGAACTTCAAGAGCCAGGTGAGCTCGAGCATGTGAGTCACTGCAACACGGAGAAACACCATTTCCTTAGCATCACTATCACTGTTTGTGGGGACGCTGCTGTGCGCGATTGGCTGCTGCGTTTCGCCCACAAAAAAAACCAATCAATTTACTTTACATGAAGCGCTTTGAGACGTCTCAAAGACACGATATATCAAACAAAAGGATTATTATTATTATGTCTTAGAAGAAGCAGCTTGTGCAATGTTTTCACTGGGCCATGAAGACAATGTTTGCAAATGGATAAAGCTAAAACTATTTAAAAAAAAAGCTTTTGGCAATCCAAGGGCCGGAAGAAGGGGTTTTGATTCCTTACAGAAAGGTGTGGAAGATGTTTCCATCCCCGTCATTACATTTCTTGTCCCCGGTCGCTTGGTGAGGTTGATCTGGTTTATCTGTTTCAGGAGGGCTTTCCCCTTGATCAATAGCCACTGCGCATTCTGCCAAAGTAAGCTTGGCTCCTGCTACAAGTCCACCCACAACCTCCAGCACCAACCCTGCACGACAATAAGGATGTGTTAAACCAAACAAAGACATTGTTTATACTTTAATACAATTGCAAGGTCAGAACGGTTCTTCTTATATCAAAGACAACAGGGAGAAATTTCACCAGGATCCAGATTTACTCTATTTATATGAGCATTTTTTACGGCATCCAGAATTTGTTGGCAAATTGTTGAGTTCACTCTTAACTGGCCTCAAAGTGTTTTCAAATTTAAGGCTGTATTTAAGAAGTTGCTAAATTTTGAAATTCTACATAAATGCAGTAGATGACTGACTGACTGACTGAATGATTGACCAACTAACTAACAAACTAACTAGCAAGCAAGTAACAGGCTCAAATAACAGGCTTCAACAATCAACTCCTGCAGATCGTTTTGAGGCAGTTTGGCGATGTGATGAAGCGTTATATCAAATTGCAAGGATTATTATAATTATTATCTTTATCATCCGTGGACCAATTGTCCTTCTACTGTGCTGAAATAATTGCTATGATTCAGTGAAATTATTGAAGTGTGTGACTGGGAGTAATTGTTTGATGAGGACACAGGTTTAATACACCTTCGGGATGACGCATGGCGCAGTAACTGCGGATCAGGGCGATGTCAGAAGCTAAGCTGTTCAGGTGAAGTCGTTTCTTCTGCTCAGCTAAGGTCAGCTTAGGATCCGTCCATCTCTCTCCGCAGGACACGTAGACCTGAAATAACACAGGCTAACCTCGTCAAATCACTCTTGATGAAGTCACCGGGATAAAGTAAAGTGATTTCCGTTCAGCTCAAATTGTGAGAGGGCCAATGAGTTTCATTGCCAACATTTTAACGAATAGACTTGAAACAAGTCCGACTGAAGGTAACTTGACTGTGATGGAATCTGCTTTAGAAGCTGAATTCCCATGGTTTGTGCCGTGACCTATTTCCAGTTATCGAAGGCAGTCAATCCCCTGCTCTGATTCCTTAGTGAGGAACGAACTGCATGAGAAATCGTCCAATATTACACTGAAACATTGACTTGTTTTGGACTTTATGAGCCAGTTATGTCCTTTAACATCGGCATTTAAAAATCTTGAGGCACTGTTGCCTGTAATTAACCTAGTCAACGGGTAACATAGCGTATTGCTCTCTATCCACATAAACACAATGTGACTTGGGAGACCTAAACTTGCCAGCTGGTCTCTTTGTAGATCTTTCAGAACAGTGATTTCCTTTCCCTTCTCATCAAACAGTCTGCGAGCAGCGAAAGGCAGTCCCAGCGCCCAGGTACACCTGCAACGAGAAGTCAGCACAAGTCAGTACACCACCAGGACATTGGCAGTCAGAAACCCTGAGAGAGAAAGGGACGAAACCTTCCGGGAGAAAGAAATCAACACTTTGATAGGAGAACCCTAACCCTAACCTTAACCCTAACCCAAACCCTAACCTAAGAGAAGTGAGTCGGAAGAGAATACACCATGAAATGCGTCCTCTCCACTTGCAATCAAAGCGCTTTGAGACCTTCCTCCGAGTGACGTGAAAGGCGTTATACCAAATGTCAAGATTATTATCGTTATAAATTCACTGTGGAGACGGCTAAATGGCAAATTCAAGCCCTGCACATTCTGGTGTGTGTGGCAATGGAGTGGGCTGGTGCCATTCTCTCAGTAATGAGGGGCAGTAATATTTAAAGGCAGAGAAGGAGGATGTGATGGGGCGCACAACATTAATGGAGGCTTTGGTGGGACATTCAGAAGAAACTGTTTGACTTAAAGCAAAGGGGCAGCTGGACTTATATTAAGGAACACTGAAACTCTAAATGATATTCGCTGAGCAGCAGATGGCTTGTCTGCTTCACCACTGTCTCGAGGTCGTGATTGCAACGAGGTTTTGAGTACCTGGTCCTCAGGATAAATGGTAGACAGAGCCAGACATAGAGTTAGCATTGCTTATGTTGCTTCGTTTTCAGAAAATGCTGTGTCGCCTGGAACATCTGGAGAGCAATCACTGTAATTGCTACACCAGAAATAACTCACATTCAAACAAACTATCCCCCAGGTGAAAATGTTTGCTCGCTGTGGGTTAATTTAAAAAAAAGCTTGGATCAGATCTAACTTCACAATCCTCCGAGGAGAACACTTTAAGAGCATTACCTCTCTAAACACTGCTTAAACTCGAGGGTGTGGGCTTTAATTACACCGTCCTCTCTCATTTCCTTCCTCTTCTCTCTCCCTGAGGGTTTGTGGTGTGGTTTTCCAGCACTTGGGATCCTCCTGTTGGAAAGCGGAAAGAGCAGCAGCAAAAATGTGGAACCATGAAAAAAAAATGGGAAAATTCATTTGGGGAAAGTCACTCAGCCCGTTGCACCCGCTCTTTCCAGGAACCAAACTCAATCTACTTCATTATGGACTTTCTTCCTCTCTTCAGTGATCAGGGATAGCTCAGCATTTTGGGGAAGTCCTAAAAATATATGACTGAAATTTCATCTATTTCCTCTCTCATTTCGTAAGGGTTCTAACCACATGGGGACTTGTAAACCTTATAAATATATTGAGAATTTTCACAAGACGTGCTTGACCCGGGTAAATAAAGGGATCACAGATTGATCATAGATGAAGCTTTGCATAACATTTTTGTACACATGCCTGTGTTCCTGGTCAACATATTCCAAAATTACTGTGTAAAAAGGGCATCACCTGTATAAAACAGGGAATTTCTCCCAGTGTCCTGGCCAACAATCCCCAGTCCAAATTGGTCAGTTGCTTCATTGCTATTTTGGGATGTTGCTGTATGCAAGTTAAAAGCTGCGGCTGTCTACAAATACAGTCTCTACACTTCACAGTGAAGATCCTGTGAAGAGTTTTGAGACATCTCGACAACATGATAAAGCGCCGTATCAAATGCAAGGATTATATACGTTCATTGAAGCAACCTGAATCCTCTAGCCTTGAGTATGTCCTGTTATTATACGCGCTAACAGTGGTCGAATCGTGTTCAAAGAAATAAATACACCAAGGTTATCTCTCCCAGTCTCTTGCTCCTAACTCTTGACAAATGCCCTCTGCTGGAACAACTCCTAACTACAAAATCTATTTTCCAGCAGTTTCTTCAGCCTTCGCCCCCTGAGCACAAAAAGAAAGAAGGAATAACAATGTGTTCGCACTCTCGGATGTTTTCTCAAGACCAAAATAGTAACGCAGCCTTTGTTTCCTCCTTGGCACACCATGATGTGATGAAAAAGGACTTTGAAGTCAGAAGAGGAAGGATGAAGTCCATTTAGAAGATCGGATTGACACAGTGTGAATTAATGAAAATAATGGAATGGCTTCATGATATCTGAGGCATCAATCCTGGCCAAGGCAGTGGCAGCAAAATAAAAATGTGCAGTAGTTGTGTTTACTTGACTGGACATGTAAATGATCTGTTGTGTGTTAAAGTGCATTGAAAATAGTTGGAGGTTTTAGCCATCCCAGGATCTATTAATAATGCATTATATATTAAATGCATGCATCGGAGATTTCAATTTCAGGCTTGGCTTTACTTTATGGAGTAATTTTGACATTAGCATTTTTGCAGTCTGCTTACAAAACAGCCTGTCCTCTGGATGCTGGATGAATCTAATTTGAGAATGTGGACACCTTAGAACAATTGTTCAGCCACCGAGAATGCAGGCACTTTCATTAACGCTGAGAAACTTTCAATTTTAAACCGTGCGAATTGAAAGTTTAATCTTGCTATTGCTATTAACATTCTCTTAGGACTAGGATTTAGGACTAACGTAACATGTTACGCTATGTAACGCATTCACAAAGAGAACTGATGAACTCTGCATTCATAGGAACCTGCTTTATTCACAGTGAGTTCTCAATCTCAGCCAGGTCATTTGGAGGAGGCAATGAGCAAATTCTTAATCGTTAATGCACGATTCTGTGCCTAAATACTGCACTTGTTTGGATGTTTGGTGAGCACATCAGTGGGCTTGGCTGCAACAGGGATCAAATGACCATTATCCATGCTGTGAGCCAAGACAGCAACTGACCTACGGATATTCAACTCGAGTTATCGGAGAGCAATGCAAAGCCCACCCCAAGGATCACCATCGACCCAGCAGCGCTGGACCCAATCGCAGTGTTTACTGGTGTCCATTCTAAGATCAACTGAGCCAACGCAAGTCCAGAGATTGAAACCTGTGATTCTTTGGGTGGGTCTGAATAGCTCAGCTGCTCACTGAATAATCAGCTCGTTCAGCTATTCGAGGGAATGGCATCTATGTATTTTAACACCTCATTGCATTATAACACAATGTACTTTGGTTCAGCTTGGTAATTTTCAGATGGGGGAAAGGGAGCGAGAAAAAAAGCACATTCGGGAGATCAAGCTGAAAATGATTCATAGGTCACATGAAGTATTAATATTTTTAATTTCAGAGTTGTACGTTGCTAGAATTCTTAGTTGAATTGCTAGTTAGTAAGTAGTGTGGGCTCTCAATCCTCTGCCAATTTTACAGTCATAGTTCAGCTGTTATTAAGGGCGATATGCTTGTGAACATTTGAAGCCATTGTATAAAAATTAAGTTGGTTTTGATGTGCTTGGAAAGGAAACACTTCTGAAATAGCTGCTTGGCTGAAAGAAGATGAAAATATCTGCCTGCGTGACTGAAATAACCACTCGTGGTCTGGTGGAGCAGGAGTCTGAGTGTGGATATAATATAAGAATAATAATCCTTGCATTTGATACAGCGCCTTATCACATCTTCGAGACGTCTCAAAGCGCTTCACAGAATATACTGTAAAGTGAATTGACTGTATATTTTGTGGACGAAACACGGCAGCCAATTGCGCACAACAGCGTCCCCACAAACAGTGGTGGATTGAGTGACCAAGTTATTATTATCATTAACTTTTTTTTGAAGCAATTATTACCCCCAGAAAAGCGATCCTCCAATCAACTAACAACCGGGTTCCTACTTACTGCTAGGGAAACAGAGGCGTGTGGAGTAAGGAAACCTGCCCAATGTTTCGCCCTGCCCGGGAATCAAAACCAGGTCCTCTGGTTTGCGAGGCGAATGCTCTAACCATGGGGGAACAGGAGGAATTTCAGCCCAGGCTGTCCACGGAGGTACGAGAATGTCGTGCATAAGGGTAACTGTGAACAACAACAAGCATGCAAAGCCAGCCTGCTGGATGGAGATTTAGTCCACTGTTGCCAGGGGCTGTGCCAGTCGTCACAGTGGGACAGTGTTTGATAATTTTGGCCACTGTCGTGTTTACTGTCTACAGTGAATGGACTCAGTATACCAGCTGTAATTTGCAACTCCTGTCTCATCGTTTCCTTGTGCCTTTTGAGACCGAGGAACAGAAAGTGACAGTCGGTTACGTGGCTGCCACTAAAAAAAACAGAAGTAGGGCTCAACCAGTAATTAACACACTAATTGATTGAAATCAGACAACTCTCAAAATGTGGCTGTGGGCTTTTCAGGTCAGGGTTGAACGGGGTTTCCAACAGGCACGGCAGCACCGACTCCTGCTTGTTTCTTACAGTCTCCTAATCCAGCTACTCTGCACGTTCACACCAGCTTTCAGACACTTTTCACGCACACGTTCGCTGCCAAGCTGGGGATGGTCTGAGGATCGGAGAGTAAGCGAAAGTGCTGTCGGAAGCTGCAATCGAGACGCAGGGAGCTCCATCCTCAGTCATGCCATGACCTTGCCTGAGCCTTCCTTCCTCTGTCATTTCCTCCAGCCACATTCCCCTGCCCTCACTTTCCGTCTCTTCTCCAACACTGGGCTACCGTGAGTTCCTCACCCCCTCTATCCCACCTTCAGTGGCTGAGCCGTCAAACATGTGCTTCCACTCTAACAATAACAACAATAATAATACTCTCTGGCAATCGTACACAAAGTACACAGTCATTCCACTTTACACTATATTCTGTGAAGGCGTTTTGAGAAGGTGCTATATCAATTGCAATGATTATTATTATTGTTATTATTATCATCTTTCCTAAAATAACCTCCTCCTATACCTTTTCTTCTTTCCCTGCCTTAAAAACCTCTTGAAACCATGTCTGACCTGTGGCTTTTTGTCAATATTCTCAAACTAAACCTTCCTGACCACTCTGTCTGGCATCTCCCATTGTCTTTGCAAAGTAATGTGAGACATTATCTGACACAGGGAGACTTAGTTGTTTAAAGATTACCTCTGTCCCCAATCGTACGGTTATTATTACAAGAGATACATCTACTTGTGACTTGCTGTTCATGTTAGTTGAAGGATTGCCAAAGCCTTGCTTTTCAAAAACAAAAAGTTTTAATCCGTTTTATTTTTTCACGGCACATCACAAAGGCAGACATGCCCCAGTTGGGTAGAAGTTTGTTTTATCGGTTATGTATGCTAGAACATCTGGCCTTAAACGGTTGAAAATTTCTTATTAAGAAAATAGAATCAAACAGCGACAATTGGGGAGCGCGAAATCTTGGTGAGGTAGAAAGGTTTGTCATTTAAAGCTCCTACTTGCTCCCTCCACTCTGTTATGCGGTACCCAAGACACGAGTAAAAGTGATATTGTGCCGCCTTACGTTTTCTTGAGAATGTTTATGATATCCGGTCCTGTAACAGTTACTGCCTTGGACTTGTCCTGGTGTCCGTTCCTCAGAACCCTCACAGGCTTGTTCTCGATTTCCCGCCACTTCATGGCTGGCATTTTCAGGGAGGGCACATTGGGGAGGAGGGAGCCTTCAATCGGCCACTCAAAGTTCTAGTAGATAAAGATGAGAGCCATAGTTTAGCATGACTTTTGTTTTTATGGCCTTGCTCCCCCCACCCCACCTCTGAGACCTTCTCCCTACCAACTCCCTACCAACCTGCCCACTCAACTCCGTTCAGCGGGCTTCATGTCCCCCGCCTTGCCTGCCCCAGCATTGTCGGGCTGGCCTTCAGCCACTCTGCCCCCACCCTCTGGAACTCCATCCTGCAGTCCCTCCGCCTCACCCACTCCCTCGCCTCCTTCAAGACCTGTCTCAAGACCCTCCTCTTCGACCGTGCCTACGATCACCCTCCTTTCCCCCTGCCCTTCACCTTCCCCGATCTTGATCCCCAGCTCGGGTCCAAAACACTGACTGTCCAGCGCCTTGGGATGTCCTCCCGATGTGAAAGGCACTTTACAAAGGTGATTTTGTTGTTGTTTCACCAAAAATTCAAAACATTTTCACTACTTTATATACAGTGAAACCCTGTGAGAGGCTTTGAGATGTTTCAATGACAAGGTGCTTAATGATAAAAATAATAATAATCCTTGTATTTGATACAGCGCCTTATCATGTCTTCGAGGCATCTCAAAGAGCTTCACAATCTAGACTGTAGAGTGAATTGACTGTATTTTTTGTGGGCAAAAAGGGCAAATCAAAGGTCTGTTATTATTATTATTATTACTATTGTTATTTTTAAACCTGTGAGGTGGAGGATGGTACAGGGGGAACAGTGACACTTTTTAGGTGTCAATTCAATGCAAGAGTTACACGGAATTTGTGATAAAAGTTCAGTGTAAAAAGGAACGATGCATTAAGGAGTCGCATTAGAGTAAAAGGGTGACTACAATACAGAGCAGGATGTAACACAGGGCTACACGTGTCACTAAAACAGTAGCTCACTGCAATGCACCTTCCTGACACCGTGAATCAGTCCTTTATCTACCAAACGTGAAGTAATGATGCCCACAACATGCCTCAATCACGGAGCAGGGAGATTTGATTCCATCACCATAATGAGAACGGTGTTGAGAAGAATAACAAATGTTTACCACAAACACAGACGCTCCTCGTCACATTATCTCCTATTTGTCACAACAGTCGTGTCACTGTTCTTTACCCACATTTTCTGCTTGCCTGCTTCCATTAGCATCTGTCACCTCGTTTACCAAACTACACGGCAGCTTCAAGCCACAGGGCTCATGTTTGTGACAGTGTACACGTGTAGCTCTGAACAAGTCCTTTAAAATGATGAGCTACTTTGTCTGCCTAGAAATTCTGTTAGCATGCACCCATGTAATCATTTTGCTGTTGTGTTACATGATGCCAGCATCATGAACATCAGTGATGTACAGTGGCAAATGCTTGTCGTGTTATATCTTGGCACGTTCAGCGGCCTCTGTGTACACCGAGCCTTCCACAAACAACAAGCTCTCTGCTCAGGATTCTTACCAATGCAGTGGCTCAGTGTTATTATAGTTGTGTGGCGCAATTGGCTGCCGGGTTTCACCCACTAAATGCCCAGTCACCACACTTTACATTCTGCGTAGCGCTTTGAGACGTCTCGAAGACGTGATAAGGCGCTATATCAAATGGAAGGATTATTATTGTTTATTATAGTTGAAGCAAGAAGTCTTTGGATAGTATTCTGGTACTGATACTCTACGGGGGGGTGGGGTGGAGGGGATGTCATTCTTCCTGAAAGTCTTATTGAATAGTTCTGTGCTGTGGTTACGAGGCTCACAACGGTGAAAGAACCTCCTCTTCAACCCTGATAGCTTTGGGCACTAGTGACTTTCAATGGATGCTGTGAGAACAGCGATAACAGTGATGCATTGGTGCAGGTTTGACACTCGGCTTAATCCAATGATCACTGCGTGTGTAAAAAAAAGATTAATTGATTCTGAAAACCCACTTCCAGGTTAAGACTAAATTCAATAATTTGCCTAACGCCGAACACTCTGAAATGCTATGTTAACGGAGCAAATCTAGATCCAGGTGGAATTTCTCTCCCCCACCCCCCCTCCCCCCAACCACCCTCAGGTGACTGAATCCCAGCTGTCTAATTCAATAAAAAGTCGACACAGTATTTTCTAGGTTATGTTGTAAAGGAGAACATTAGTGCAGAGCCAGTGCATCTTAATGTAAGAAATGTGTCCAAGCTACAGCATTTGGAGATATTGTTATGCTGCATATTGCTGTTTGTTCAGCCAAAACTGGACCTTTAATGCATTTGTACCTCCAGCAATATCCAGGCTGATAAACATATGAACTCTGCATTGAAGAAAGAGATTCACATTGCAACAGATAAATGTTGTATCTGTTGCCCTGAAGCAAACATCTCCTAAAGCGTCCAATGTGGTGGCTCTGGAGGTTGCGATGCAGGTTTTTCTTGCAGGAACTCAACTTGGACCAGAATGTCCCCAGTACCCAGCCGGGAACCAACCCATCAAGATAAATACCATTCAGAGCAACAGCGGGACCAGCCCGAGGAAACATTGGCTTTGTGTCTGTGTGTGCACTGTCTCCCAAACAACACAACTGTGCAAGAGGATAGTGCAATCCGTGCAGTGCATAAGTTCTCTATTGCTCAGGTACTGAAAAGACATTCCGAGCATTATTCTAAGTCTTTGGCTTATGATATTGTTTACCCTACATTTTTGAGACGCTTGAACTAATACATTCTTGCCTGGAGGAGTACAGTTGTTGGGTTTCTATGTATTATAATGAAAAATCCACCAAGAAAAGCTGTATGCTAAGTGCTCATCAGAGGAGTGTTATTATAGTATTAGAGAATATTACAGAACAGAAGGAGGCCATTCGGCCCATCGTGCCTGTGCCAGCTCTTTGGAAGAGCGACCCAACTAGTCCCACTCCCCCGCTCTTTCCCCATATCCTTACCTCATTCAAATTGCCATCTGGTAACATAGGCCACATGTAAGTTAACTTGTTCCAAAGCGGATTCTCCACTACTGAGTGTTTCCATTGTCCAGGTTTTGTGATTCCTTCGTGTTTTATGGCCCATCTAATGAAACAATAATGTGTTTTTTTAACCAAGCGCAAAAAAAATCAAAAAAACAAATTTCATCTGAGAATGTGAAAAAAATACTGTAAATATCTATCAGCGTTATATTTCAAGACCGTCACGTGGAACCATCCTGCCCTCGGAATCTTAAAAACAACTTCATTGGAACAGACAGGAAAGAACAAGTAATAACTAGTAACGTTTTTTTAATAGCACTGATGTTTAGGCAACAATGCACAGGGTATCATCTGTTATTGAGAAAGCTTACAAGCTTCGGAGTGTGGAATCCCAAGCTTGTTCTTAGCCAACCGCTTCTTCTTAACTTAACTTACTTCCTTTCTCCACCACTCTTCAACCTGGATATTGACCATAAGACCAAAAGACCATAAGACGTCGGAGCAGGAGTAGGCCATTCGGCCCCTTGAGCCTGTGCCCCACCATTTAATAAGATCATGGCTGATCTTCTAACCTAATTCCATTTGCCCACCTTATCCCCATATCCCTTAATTCTCTATCCTTTAGACAACTGCCCTGCCTGTGGCTCATGGGGTCGAGCTCTGAATTAAACCAAGAAGAATTCTGGGCTCTGGAATTCAGGCTCAGTGAGTTTAGCCAGTGAACGTCCAAACCATACAGATTGCCAAAAATTACTGGCAGGAAAAATCAGTGGGGTTTGTGCTACTTATCACTGTCAAGAGTTTCTAGAGGGCAGGTTTGAGCATGGCTGCAAGACCCCCCCATGATGAAATCTCAATCAATTTTTATTTCCTCAGTGTATAATGATCTCCGAGCATTCGTATCTTAACCAACCATAGCGGCTGAAGTCCCTATTTTTATTCACAGATCGGGAAACTTACTAAAACTTCGGTGGCGTTTAGCTTATGACGGGGAACTTACCACGCTAAGCTCAGAGCTCAGGTCACTAAATTTACCAACGACCCTGATGTTGGATGTGCCCAACAAGCTCATCAGTACATTTATTGACCACCAAAGAATTGTGCAGACTTAGTTTATAATGAATGACTGGAGATATGTGACCACAAGGGGCCAGTATTGCTCTTTTAAAAAATAGCTCGTCTGTCAGCACACCCCTCCTCCTTTGCTATTTTATTTTGACCATCACGCTTCAAACATATTGAACCAGAGATTACCCAAATATCCCATTTTTTGGACATTAGAATGCCATTTTTCTAATTGCTGTTTAAATCAACAGAATGAACAGTTGCTCAACAAGTGTGAAGAAGTCAAGGCTGGAACACGTGAAAGCAGCTATAATTACTGTACGTCAAAAAGCTTTGTAAAATTATCGTTTGAATTCCACGATGGCTAAAGAGGAGACAGAGAGGGAAGAAGAGCTGCAGCACTATACAGTATCAGTGTGCGGTCGTGCGCAAAGGAATCGAGCTTACATTAATGTGAAAGCTAATGTGCATCATTTTTAATGGACTTGATGGACTGATGACATTTAACTGGTCAAATCTGACTCAGTGGTAATTGGACTAAAAATCTGTGAAAAACACTCTGACTTACAACACAAAAAATACAGCCTTTTTGCAACTTGAATCAAACACTAAATTTTCAATCACTGATTTTTAATATCCGAGATGTCAGCCCGAATCACACATGAAGCATTTTCCTGTTTGCAAAATATACATTGTTGGTCAGTTCAGGCTATTGAAAACAAGACCCCTCATTTTTTTCCATCAATTTCAAATGCCTTCTCCCACAGTAGTGGCAGTGCAGGAGCTTTGACATGCACTTTGGGAAGTGGGAGATCTTGACATCAGTGAGACACTTCACAATGGAAACCCAAAATGTTTTACAATATCAGTTTACGCTGGATCTGTGCGCAATTGGCTGCCAAGTTTTGTTTCGCCCACAAAATATATAGTCGATTCACGTTACAGTATTTTCCGTGAAGCGCTTTGAGACATTTAGAAGACTTGATGAGGCTCTGTATCAAATGCAAGGATTATTATCTTATTATTATTTATTTAAACTCAGATTCCAGAGGTGAAAGGTCAGACTGTGCTAACTCTTTAGCACAGCCACCCAGTCCCACTCCAATGGTTTAAACAGGAATCAGTTCCTCTTTAATATCTAGTCAACCATTCTAATTGGTGTCAAGTTGAACATGCACTGTGACTGTCTATAATAGGATATAGGATGCTACTGTAGTTCCTCCTGACGACTTAGGTAATATATTTGGAGCTGCAGGGTGTGCTTCTGTGCAATCTATTGTATGAAGCAAATTCACTTTGAATTTCTAAATGCTTTACCTTGCCGTTACAATTCTATTTGTCAAAGAATTTATATGATAATATCACACATGTTTGCAGGCAGCTGCTGGCTAGTAATTAGCCTTACCATCACCATCAACACAAATTAGTATGGGACTTACTGTATCACTGGAAATAACAATAATAAGTTTAGAATGTTTTTGCCAACTAATGTAATTAAATAGCCGAACACGAGGATGAGTCAAACATTGAAGTCCGCACCTTAGATAACTACTGCGTAGCGATACATATAGATATATGTATATAGATATTTTTCAGTCACGCTTAATCACCTGTTAGAAAGGTATCATTAAGGATAAATACTACACAAACTTGTGCGTAAAAACAGTGAGATCGATTTTAGTTATTGGCTGGATAAAGAGGGTGGCTAACTGGTAATGATTCACGTTCCATGACTATGAATTTAGAAAGGGCGGTGGTTTATCTTGATTCCCTTTTCGTGAGGAATCCACTGAAATGGCACTTTGCATTTTCTGCAGTATATCTGGAAGATCATACGTGATAATGTCATTTCTATTAAAAAAAATCACATTTCACGGAGATAACATCACATCATGCTCTATTTACTGGGAGTTATTTTTTTTAGCTTTGAAAACTCATTTAAAGAGAAAGCCCAAAGCACAATCATTCTGAACCCACATTCTGAACCTACAAGAGCCCTGTGAGCACTTGTACTGCCTCCAGCTGGACTGGAAGCAAACCACAGAGGAATAGAGCGAGCCATTAAACTTGTCCTCTTTACCTCTGCACCTAATTAACTTTATCTAATTCATTTTTAATGCATGGCGCAAACAGAAATACATTGCGAAAAACCCATGGGATATGATTTAGATCCCGCTCATACTCATACTGACCATAATTCACTTCCCCTAATGAGTTATCAGATCAGACCATTCATGGGACAGAAATCCTTCACCCTTGGGTTTTCATGATGTACCTCTCTCTACACGTTGTAAAGGGGCTATAGTTTATTTTAACTTTTGATTTTAACTAGGAAGATTGTGGCGGTTGGGATTGGACGATGTTTCACTTCACATCCAGTCACCTCACCGAGTCTTAGATCAGGAGTGGAACAAAGCAATTTCAATACACCGTTCAATCAACGATTTGGAAGAGGTTCCCTCCCCAGTTCTTTCACAATTATTTCAATCTCCAACCTTACTTGTCCTGTTCCCTTTCGGAGTCATCATGACTGCTGAGTAATAATAATAATAATCCTTGCACTTGATATAGCGCCTTATCACGCTTTCAAGACGTCTCAAAGCGCTTCACAGAACACGAAATGTAATTTAGTTAAAAAGTAGCTGCTGAAACGGCGAGATTTCCCCTGCATCAATATTTAAGACCTTTGCTCTTTAAGCAGAGACTTCACTCGCCTAGGATTTACAACAACAAGATTACATTTGTATAGCATCTTTCACATCGGGAGGACGTCCCAAGGTGGAAAGGTTAAGTGGAAAGGTTGTACCTCATATACAGCAGCTGAACTGCAAAGCCTTGGTTTTCAGGCACATTGGTGCTAATGGAGCTCAGGTACTGAAGTCTGGTCCATGTGAATCTTAACAATCCTCAAGTTCAGCACAAACATTTTGCCTGATGCCATTGGTGGCAACCGGTGTAATTCCCTGTCAGTTTGTTATCCTCTAAACACAAACACAGAATCGCAATGCTGACTGATGTACAGTCCCATCAATAAAATACTTTTAGTGCAATGATATATGACTGCCTAACGATCTGATACATTTGTGGTTTTTTCCCCTTTCCCCCGAGTTAGTAATATGACAGACATGTGTGTTTCAATGCACATTCCCAATTAATGTGCCTGATGTAAATAAAGAGCCTTTCAGTTTGCTCCATGTACTCACACATCTGATTTAATTTAACCCAGCAAGAAATCAACAGCAACAACAACTTGCATTTACATAACGCCCTTCACACAGAATAGCGCCTCAGAAACGGTCAAATCTACATTGACCCCCTCCTCTGAAATATCTCCATTGACCTCCAATATAATCTCTTGCACTCCAGTTGTCAGAATTGGCCACGTGAGCGTTTTGTAGGACACGCGTGAGTCCTAATCGTTGTCGCTCACTCACTGGAAGTGTTGAATGTGAAGGCAGCTATCAAGAACTAATGTACCAGCCTCAATTAAAGTAAACAGGGGCAGATGAAGATTACATTGTAAAAGGTATCAGTGCTGCCAGGAAAGATTTGGGTTTGCAATCTTGTGCGTTAAGATCCACCCTGATAGAAAGAATCCCAAGCAAAATGCTTTATTAAAATCCAATTGCACTCATCAATTGCACTGCTTTATGTCATTAAAGTTACTTTGACCAAAACATTGGTCTTAAAGCAGTGCCAGCCCTCTAATCAATAAAATATTTTCAGTGTGCCGATGTATGAAATGCTGCAGTTTCTTGTTTGATCTGCAAATAGCTTTCAAATTACAGGACTTTCTCCGCGAAACTGAAACAATTACTAGTGTGAAAGTAAATGTGGGTAATTAAAAGGCAATTTCTGTGCATTAGATCACAGCATCTTCAGAGATTGTGTACTGATTTGCTTGTCTTCAGCTGCTAGATGTTTATTTTCTTCCTTTGCTGATGTACAGTCCCATCAAGGATGACATTTAAATGAGTGAGTATTCAACACAAATGTGATCATTTGTACTGCATCCAATGTGGCCCCACGCTGTGATGA